TGACCACTTGGTTCAGTCTACCTTACCAAGCAGTTGAGACTTTGGAATGACCCTCCCTCTAATTTAGTCAATAAAAATTATTTAAAAGTAAAAGAACATTTTTAACCTCTAATTTTTCAATATTACTGATTTTAAGGTCAATTTAATTTGTCGAATTTTTAGAAGATTTACGGTACAAAATACAGTGCATAATACAATACATGCATAATAGTGCTACAGTACATGTATGGCATTTCAAAGTACATAAGATGGTCAAGAATGGACACAAAACCCACTTGACTACTTTCAAATAAAATTGAACCTCTTCCTTCCACTTTTACATGTACACTGGAGTTTGTCTCCTCTTATCATGATTGTACACATGTCACTACTCAATATTTTACAAATGAATACACTCCGTGTACATGTACTTCTCCCCCTCTCCCTCCTTTCCTTCATCTCCCCCTCTCTCTTACCCATCTTGAGTCATCCTTGAGTAAGTGTAAGAAGACTGGAGTGAGTCTCTCTTGTCTTGATAATAATGAGCAACCAAGAGACACATCCATGAACACATCAGCACACGCCTAATGAGAACAATAAGGACTCATCCACTCATTTACATGTACATGACATATACTGAATGTATTTTATAATAACAACAGTACAGCAATAAATAATAAAATTGATAAAAATGTTTCTTTACTTTTCTAACTACTTCCCAGACTTCATCTTTACACAACTGAATGAAATATGGTAACTAGAGAGAGAGAGGGCTATATAGATATCTCTTCCAGCAGTGCAGTAAAAGGAACCCAGGCTTGAGGCTTTTAAATGCAGCACATTATGAGCACAAATGTCTGGATGAAGGTCAATAGAAAATTATTAACAAGGGAGCGATGACTGCTATGAATGATGAACATCAATATTTGCGTGGGCGGATACCGTAAATCCATATGGATCCAACATAAAAAATGACAAAATCTCTATATGGGGATTATGGATGATGAAATCGAGGATGGAATACCGGTACAAGAAGTTCCCTGGCCCAATGAAATTAATGATGACCCTCCTCATAGGCCACCTCAGAAGGAAGATTTAAGTGGACCAGTTGAAGGTCCTATAAATGGACTAGTTAAAGTAGGAATAGTTACAGGTCCTATAGTCGTAGGTGCATGTACTGTTGCTGGAGGAGTTATTAGAGGACCACTAGGAGCAGCTAAAGGAGCTGCTCTAGGAGGAATTATTGGGGCTCATATTGAAGGACTCATTCTAGCTTTCATTGCTAATTTAAATTATGAAGATTAATGACCTCTAGTTGTCAACATGTACTCTAGTGTCTAGTGAGTGTAGTGTCTATTATTACTGGTGATATATATAATTGTTTATTTTTAATAATTTTTAGACAAACTAAGTGTCAAACTTGAATTTGCAAGCATGAAAGCTGAACTATAAAGTACATGTATAATTGTACAAGAGGCCCAATTTCATAAGATCGATATTATTTACAGCTGCTTATTTTGGGTTGGATGAAGCCATGTGAGTGATGATAGGAGGAGCAACTAGCAAGAACTGACCAATCATACTCTGCCAGAGGAAGTATGATCAAGTATCAAGCAAGAGATTATAAAGAAACTGGCAAGTGGTTGACTGCAGAATGCCAGTAGTGTATCAATTTCCTCTTTATCAATTCCCTAATCTGCCTGTACCTCTATCTCTCTCTCTCTCCCTTGCAGTCTATAAAGTGTACATTACTTATGATTGTTGCTACATTAACAGTTTTTATTAATTAACATTTTAAAAGAGGAGGAGGAGGAGGAGGGAGAGATTGGAATACATAATAATAATAATAAT